AACTAAAGCAGTCACTCCAATATTGACCACCCTATTTACAAAAACAGGATGTACAATAAATTACACAGCAAAGTTGGACAAACAAACAAAACTGGATTAGTTAAGTGAATAGTATCAAGGAAAGCCGTGCCACTGGCCTAACCAATGACACAGCAAATGGCATTAGCCAAATAATTTTAGTTTGCTAGCAGTCATCAGCTAAGTAGAAAAGAGTTAAATAGCAACATAGACCATGGAGTTTTAAAGAGAAAGTTAAAGTTTTTCAACAAAGTTTTGGTTGCAAGTTCAAGAAGAACATGGAAACTTAAATGGAAAACTTACCACAAATCTAGCCACCTCTGTGGGATTGTGAACAGCTATACTTTTTGGAGTGATCTTAGTAAGAAGCAAAATAGCAACCTAGGATCATTCAGAAAAAATTCAATGATTATGATTTCTTTCTATCTTTTATGTTCACTTTTTTTTTTTCAAAAAAGGCAAGCTTTTCCATTGCATGAAAACAAACTATCTACAATAATCATCTAGGCATACCTGGCTTTAACATATCACCTAATACTCAAAATTGCAATGGCAAAAAGTAAGAAATTCAATTTTTTCTTCTTTATTTAACAAAGGTGCTATGCCTTTCAGTGTGCACAGATACATATAGACCAAAAACAAATTCATTTAGGAGAAAAGGAAACAAAAAGTATAAGAAGATCCAAGATCATTTGTCATTGCTCTGTAGGATAGCTTCAGATTAATAATTTCATGAGTGAGTTGAAGAAAAAACAGAGAAAGGGAAAAAAGAACAATGGTAAAAATGGAAAACCTCCCTTGAAGGAAATAAGCTAAGTCTATCATGTACGATATACAAGACATTGTTTTGATTTTCTAATAAAATATCAACTCCTTTAGCAATAATATAAAAAGAGAAATATATGCAAATTAATCTAATGTATAAAGAATGATTGGTGCCCAAAGGTTTGGATACCCACAATATCAAAAAATAAAATAAAACAAGTATCTATGTCATAGAAAGTCCTAGAGCCACCTAAAATACCAAATCTTGAACTCAAAGACCCTATGGTCACAAAAGATCCAGCTCATTTACCATTACCACCTTCGCATTGTCATAAGAGGTAGAGGGAAAAAGGAAAAAGAACGACAAATAACCACACCACCCACCTTTTGATTATTCTGCAGTCTATTAGAGTTACCCAACATGATTTCTTATTCATTCTTCCTTTATTGTTTACAAAGGAAATACACAACTTTGCAATAGCGAACTCTACAACTCAGGAGCTAACTTAAAGAGATTCATCTTGAAACAAATTTAAACCTTTTACTCTAATTTACTACAAATTCACAATGAGTTACATACAAGCACGAATAGAGGCAGACAAGGAGGTTGGGTATGTGGGGCACATAAAGAGGATAGAATTTTTATATACATACAGTCATCACTCCAGTTGCTACACTAACACCAGTTTCTCCAAATATTGTTGTTGCTGTGTCTGTAACTAAAGCAAAAGCAGTTGCTCCAATATTGACCGCCCTAGTGACAAAAACATATGAAAAACAATATGAAAAATACTAACCATATGAAAAACAATCCAATTCATGACATAGTATTTTGCATTTATAAAATTGACATGCTGTATCACCAATTAAGAAAACTGGATTTGGGGAATGTTTAAATCAATTCAAGCACAATCACAGAATAATTTCAAAACTAAAGAGATTATGAATACTAATAATGGATTTAACCAAGACAACTGTAAAGACTGAAGAAAGAAGCATAGCCAATATACCTCCAAAAGTTCAGAACCACATGGAGGACTTGTTCGAAGAGTGTGTCTATCGTATTCAAGAAAAAAATCCCATATGCGCTCATTAATTGGGTAAAAAGATGAGCAAAGCCTTAATTGCAATTTAAAAATAGTTTTTCCATCTTCCAAATAATCCAGCCTCTCCTACAATTAAAAGATATGGATTAATAAATAATCATCTAACATAGTAAAATGTAACCATCTATGTGATAATGAAGCTAGGCTAGTTTTATTTATAACAATCCATTGAAAAATTGGAATCTTAAACACAACGAAAAAGAATTAGTTACATAATAGGGTGTGAATATCATTATATAATTTACAATGTAGAAAGGTTCAAACAAATTAATTTTTTCTTGTGACTAGAGGTTAACACGTCAAAATAAAAATACGTTTCCATTTTCTTGAAGATACTGTGGAACCAGTTCTTTCATAATCAATAGAGAAATTTCTGATTGCAACCTGAGTACAGAACGTAGTTCAACAGGGTGAAATCATTGAATGATGTAATGAGGAAAAAAATGAAATGATGCAAATAACAAAAGCATGAGGAAAAGTCATGTCTAAATTACTAGAAAATATACTGTTATGGCATTTAGTTGGCATCAAAGAAGGCTGCCAGGACCTAATACAGACTAGAAAAATGCTATAATATCTGGTTTCTCAGTTCCTTTATGACAAAAGCTGGTGGCATTTTATTTTTATTTTATTAAATTTTAGGGGATGGGCAATAAAAGCGATTATCTGGTA